TTAGAGTCACTTTGACGAATGACAAAGTGCATCAACCGTGCAGTCCTTTCGTACTTAGTTACATACCACACATCAAAGCAAGTTGAATAACGCTTTTTCCATGATATATCGTGTTCGCTACAATCTCTTTAGAGGGGCATGACTAAGCATCGTATCTCATTAGCCAAAACCATAGATATCGTCAAAGAAAACGTGATCTGTGTATACATTCACTTGGTCTACCATAAGTTTCACATTTTAACCTCTCATCTCTTTCTTTTACATTATGTCTGTCATTACATTGATAAACATTCATTTTCTCATGTTGTTCGTTTTATGTTTTTGTTTATTCACACCATTACCGGTGGTCAATTTCAACTCGTAGCTCAGTTGGTGGAGCTTAGAGTCGGAAACTCGGTGGCCACTGGTTCGAATCCGGCCTCGGTCCAAATTTCCTTTCATCTTTAATCATTACCCAGTATAAATACTAGTCTGCCAAACTATGGCTATCTCAGATAGTCAAATAATTTTCAACTGTGACGTAATACTTGACATTTGTTACTCTGCATTTCGTTATTGTATTCACACGATTTTCCAACCCTACTTGAATATAAATTCACCGCTATATGATAAGTATTTGGCCCTTAGTAGATAAACACACACATTCATGTCCAAAACAGATGTATATAAATGTGTCATTATTTCTAGAAACCTCGCCTAGGTAACTAGTTAACTAGTTACTACGCTATACACCTTAGAACGGAGCGTAGAATGGCAGTCAACTCATCTCAACCTCAACTTCATCGATTTTGAAGAGGCCTTCGACACCGTCGACCGACAGGTAATTTGGTAGGCAACTGCTTCAACACTACGGTTTTAGTGCCACAACCCTTTATCAAACTAACTCAACAGCTATTTAAAGACGCCACATCCCAAGTGATTCACAATGGAAAGCTCGGTGACGTCTTTGAAGTGAAGACACGAGTAAGACAATCTTGCCGCCTACTATCCCCGATGATCCTTTTGATTATGGTCAACTGGAACGTGCAGCAAACCGTGAGGAGCGAGGAGACTGGCATACGCCACCTGGACCGATGAAAAGACTCCAGAAGAAGATTTGGATTTTACCGATGATTTATGTCTAATATCTTGTGACACAAACTTGAAGATCTACAGGCAAAAACCAACAAGTTGACAGAAGAGGCGAGGCAGCGAAGGGAGGTGGGACTTCTAGTGAACGTAGAGAAGACAAAGGTGATGAAGATACCCAACCAACGACATCAACAACAAGTACCAATCACCATGAACGAAAGAAACCTAAAAGAAGTTGTCTCTTTCACCTACCTAAGCAACATCGTTTCAACTACATTCGGCAGCGGCACACATGACGACGTCAAAGCCAGCAACGATTGGAAAGACAGCAAGACAGGCGTTCCTTCGTTAATCTGAAATCAGTGTAGAGATCTACTGCATTCAACATAAAGTGTGAACAATATCCAGATTTTCAACACTAATGTCATTCAAGTAAGTCAGTGCTTCTATGTGTGATGGTTGAGAGACTTGGCGTGTCACGGAAAGCATTTTCAACAAACTACAGACATACATCAACAGCTGTTGCCTACTCAGGCTCAATACTGATGATTGGATGGTCAGAGTAGTAAGAAGAAAGAAGAAGGAAGTCTGGCTGGCTGGCTGGCTGGCTGGCTGGCTGGCTGGCTGGCTGGCTGGCTGGCTGGCTGGCTGGCTGGCTGGCTGGCTGGCTGGCTGGCTGGCTGGCTGGCTGGCTGGCTGGCTGGCTGGCTGGCTGGCTGGCTGGCTGGCTGGCTGGCTGGCTGGCTGGCTGGCTGGCTGGCTGGCTGGCTGGCTGGCTGGCTGGCTGGCTGGCTGGCTGGCTGGCTGGCTGGCTTGGTGGTAACGATCCAACTAACAAAGAAGCTATCACCCAACAAATATGCAGGAGAATCAATTGGAGATGGATTGGATTTGTCATACAGTGAGAAGGCCGACTGGGGACATCACGCGCCAAGCCAGGCCAGGCGGTCGAGTGGAATCCAAATGGGAAACGACGAGTTGGACGTCCGAGGAGAGTGTGATATGGAGGAGGTAGTGTGAGGAGTAAATGAAAGGTTATAGTGGTTGTGTAGTCAGGTGAAAAAGAGTGTAGAGAACAGAGCGCAATGGAGGCGTGCTATTGAAGTTGTATGTTTCACTAGGAACCAATGGGAGAAATTATAATAATGATCTTTAGAGTTAGTCTTTTTATTTCGGAATTGTTCTGCACATATTGATTTCACTGCACAACTAATACACTAGTCTGTTTACCATTCCACCTGACAAAAACCAGCATACAAGTCCGCTAGTTAGATCCAGTTGATCTAAACTAATTTGGAGTGACTTCAAAGGCCACCCAGCGGCAGCTAAAATAACCAAATAAGTCTCTGTATTTTTCCTGAAAAGACAAGTTTCTGTGAAATACAGAAATCTGATTGGTTAGTTTAGAGATTTCTGGGGTGGCCTTTAAAGTCACTCTGCCAATTATGCCTCTTCATTTCAATTGGAAAGTAGATTTTCATAAAATAGGAACGTTCAATCGGGAGTGAATTTAAAAGACACCCTAGCAACTACTGGAATGACCGGTCAGGCTTAGGTATTTCACCTGGGAAAGTACTTTCTTCACTAAATAAAGGAAAGTGACTTGCTATCTCATCAGTTGATAAGGTGGCCTTTAAAGTCACTCCTAACTCGTCTCTATGACCTTAATTTGTTCGGGCACACTCTGGTAGGCTTGACAACCAATCGAAACGAGCAACTTTAAAGGTCACCTTAGCAACAGTCGAAATAACCACTTACGTTTCTTTATTATGGTTGGAAAGACAAGTTTTATAATATAGCGGTTGCTGGGGCGGCTTTTAAATTTCCTTCATCAAAACGGTCATATATCGTTTAGGTTACTTTGATTCTGGCTGAAGAAATATTAAAGACCATCTGAGTGCCTTTTTTATTAATGAAGTTGTTTAGTAGTAGCATCATACGTTCATTTGATTTGATCTCCATTTATCAACGGCACTGACTGTTTCGGTATTGAAGTAACTTTACATATGCTTTACTTTGGTCATTGTATTTCACTTATTCTCATAGATTTATAACTGTAGAGCTTGAAGAGGAAGGAAGTTACTGAAAAAATTTGTTCGATCAAATTTTTCTTTTTCTGAATCATGTGTGGTTATTGATTTTCAGTTGGCTGATCGTTTTTTAGTCCGTATATTCATTGAATCAGTGCCTATGTATATGTTGATTATCACTTGGTTGGAGTACTATACTTTCAGGCATTTACTTACCGTTTTCAGCTTGGTTGTTTGTTGTATTTTACAACAACATTTATTCAACTTAAAAATGTCTCACTTTTCTATGAAGTAAATTTTGACAAAGTCTTCTAACCTATTGATTAAACATCCAAGAAAAACGATTGCCATTCTCATCATGAGCTAAATATCGTCTCTACTATCTCAATCCTATTCATTGTCTTTAACTAAGAGGTTCGCTTCTGGATAAAACAAACTGGAATAACATTTTTTGCAGCCAGACTTTTGATCAACTTGAGTGGGATCAATATAGTATAAATCAATATGCTGACTACATAATAACTGATGAGCTATTTACAGAATTCATGTCCTTATTCAGGGCATCTAGAACTTTGTTCTCGGAATTGTATCATCTTCTTTGAGTTCTTTTCTGAACGGTTTGTAGCCAAGAGCTATTTCACAACTTCTATGGAAACAATCTACTTCTGAATTATTGAGGTATTATTTCGCCTATACTTCAAGAAATAATTTACTTGACATATGTAGAAGCCTTATTCATCATGCGCGACAACGTATAACAGTCCAAACGTCATGGTGTGGCCGGAAGTGAAGTGAGCAAAATCTTCGTAGCCTCTGCTACAAACGTCCCACCCACTGCCTTCATGTGATAGGTGTTCCCACAAAAAAAGACAGCTAAGAGTGAATGTCTGGCGCCCTTCACCATTTCGATGGATACGAAGGGTTCATTTAAGTCAATGAATGAATTATGATTCCAAACCTGTAGTTTATACGGGCTTCAGTTTTCAAGGCGAACCGTTGGAACTACTCTAGTTACCCGCATACATGTTTTGTCGTTATAATAATCGAACTGCTTCTATCTCTGCTCCACTGAACTGCTTGTTACTGACTGAAATTCTGATGGGTATGTAGTTACTATGGCGATTTTGTTTTTAAGATTGTATTCATCGTGGACCAAAATCAGGTGAAGAATCATTGAAAACCTGGGAGCACTGAACAGCTGTTTCTTCTTCATTCGACATTCGTTTCACTTCTAATAGGTTGACCCCACAGGCTTCCCATAACAATCTCGGGATATCGAGAAGTAGGAAACTGTAGATCATTGAACTCTAACCCAGTAACTAAATGAGTTAACACGTTCTCTATTAAACCAGAAGGTCCTGGGTTCGACCCCTGACGGCGTTATGGGTTTGTACTGTTGAGGAGTCCTATGTTAAAAGAAAAAAGCTGTCTAGTGCTCCGGAGTTTTCAATGGTTCTGCAACTAACATCAGTCTGTAGTGTATACAACCATCCATATCACTTTTGTGTCTTCCTAATGTAGTTATGTACTTTTTATGGTCCATCTCTTGGTGTTCTTGAAATAATAATAATAATAATAATAATAATAATAATAATAATAATAATAATAATAATAATAATAATAATGCATATGATATATAACAGAATAGGGTAGTAAATAACTTTCGACTACTTTGATTGGTCAACAACGCATCGTTTATGCAAGTATACTGAATCCCTGGAGGGATCATGGGTGCGCACTTCCGAGGAGTCCCTTACTAGGAAAACGAAACAGCTGTCCAGTGTTCTCAGATTTCTAATGGTTCTCCAACTGATCTCAGTTCATGAAGAATACCACCTTGAAATCCACTAATTTCCACAAAATCCTCAAATTAAATTTTTAAAAAGTTTTGCAACTCACTTTGCCCCATTTTTCAGGAACAAACTCTGGTTTACATGCAAATCGATTACATGGTGCATGTCTTTCTGGTTGACGATAATTCCCACAATAATATGATGCATCAAAATCTGATATCACAAGATCTCCATCTTTACCTGAATAGATACATTGTACATCACGTGACATTACACCAAGTCCACCGCATGTTTGTGAACAATGACCCCATTTAGATACTTTCCATCGATATCCTTTACCACATGAACCAAGTTTACATGGTCTTTGATTGACTTCTATATCCTGGATAAGTGGATTAGGTAAATCTGCACATTGTGATTCATCTAACAAGCTAGTTGCATTATAATGATCATTTTGAACACACAGAAATCTTCGTTTTTCAATTCCATCACCACATTCCTCAGAACAACTAGACCAACTCTCTGAAGGCATCCAGAACGGTGGAGTAACTCTAAAAGTATATGAAATAATAATCATCAAATGTTATGTCATTTATTAATCATAAAAACTATCTAGTTAACAGTTAGCTTATTTCAAATAAGAAATAGCACTATGCCTGCTTGTTAAGTAAACAGTTTTATATAGGCAACTAGATTCCTAACTGTGTAGCTAACATGTATACATCAGCAGAATATGAATCATTAATGATTGTTAACGAAAGTAGAATCTTCCGTTTGAATACTTTGAAAGACAGTCAATTTCATTGTGAATGTCGTAGACAGATCGACAAAATCAACGTTAAATCTCATGTACAATTGAACCGATTCAAGTTGTTATACTTCAGAACAGCATAGAAAGAACAATTGAATTGAAAAAGACTGATGTGAAAGTAGACAATATGAAGATGTTGGTTAGTGCAGTTATTCAAACATTAGCAGACTTCAAATAGAGTGAATACATCTCCCTCACTGTAACCGATTTTCAGTCATCTCAATAAAAGTCCTCAATCAGTGACTCCTATCGTCTCCAAGACTCCAGTCGGGTAGACTAAATCTGCCCACACTACTTAGAACAACCGTCACCGACTTCATGTACTCGCGCTATGTCTTGGTGTGACCATCTTGTACTGCCTTCCACAGTAGTCCGATGCATCATAGCATAGCATATTAGGATAGGCAGTTGATCTGTATGTGTAGTACATGTCTAAGACATCTGTTCTCCTGACCTACTATCCATACCTAATACCCTTTTCTTGACCTGGACACTGCTCGCATGATTTCACCAGACGTGAACAATACTACAAAGACAACCATGGTTAAAATCCTGTAACTGTTTCATATCTTTTACTTTCAACAGCAATATTTCACAACTCTATTAGCAGGACAGAACAAAGTGCGACCCAGTATGACTCATCCTTTGATTGTTAATTCCATATTTCACCGACGCTACAAATAATGGAAGTTGGCAAATTCCAAATGAACTTTCTATGTCCAAATGAGGTAGTCGACACATTTCACCAATTCACTGCCTACCCTTGAACTAAGAGTATTTACACACCAGTCCTTGAGCATAATACTACATCTCACATGTGCAAAACCTACGCCAAAAATGTTCAACATATCCAGAAGATCCTGAATTTAATCAGCGCGTGCATATAGTAAGAAAATATCACCTGCATACTCTAAATCAACCTTCAAGTAGTAAAGTATAGCGTACTTTGAATAAGACTATTGAATTAGCAATTAAGTAAATGATTATTCAGTGGAAGGAAAGATTGAAGGCATCGAACGATAACTTCAACAAATACTTCCATTGATTAAGGTGACCAAATAAGGGGACAACTAAATTTCGAGGGGGTTGTGGAGATTTGGAAATATTTCAAGTTGTTATTCATCGAAGACTGACATCAGTTGGAGGAACAAAGGAAACCTGGGAGCACTGGACAGCTGTTTCGACCTAATGCGGGACTCCTCAGCAATGCGCACCCACGACCCCACCAGCAGAGATCGAACCCGCGACCTTCAGGTTCCGCGACCAGCGCGTTACCATTGAGCCACTGGGTCAGAATCCAATGCTCCATATTTCCAACTTCTGTTAGCTCACGATATAGCGCAAACCGCCACCCAATGTCATCGTTGAGTATTTGTCCTCACAACCATCAGGCTTTGACTCCACCGGTCACGACTTGTCATTGAAACTTCGGGAATACTTCTCGAAGCTAGTCACCAACGAGCACTAGTTCAATTAAATTTTGAGGGGGTTGTGGTGACTAGCTTCGAGAAGTATTCCCGAAGTTTCAATGACGAGTCGTGACCGGTGGAGTCAAAGCCTGATGGCCGTGAGGACAAATACTCAACGATGACATTGGGTGGCGGTTTGCGCTATATCGTGAGCTAACAGAAGTCGGAAATATGGAGCATTGGTTTCTGACCCAGTGGCCCAATGGTAACGCGCTGGTCACGGGTTCGATCCCTGCTGGTGGGGTCGTGGGTGCGCACTGCTGAGGAGTCCCATACTAGGACGAAGGAGACAACTACTTAAAAATTTCGCTTAGTAGAAACAATATAGCAGATTTTATTTGCATTTATCGATGTACACGATGACATGAAACAATGCGAATTGTCTATTCCAGTTTCTAAGTCAGTGTGAATGTTCCCTTGTCTACATAATAAAAATTATATATTTTTGGGAGAATTTCTCAACCAGAATAGAAAAGATAACTATTTGTACAAAAAGGAACGTTTCTTCTGTAAAAGTACACGAGGTTATTTAATTTAATGTTCACACTTATGTTGTTGCGTGCATAATCCCGTAGCTGATTGAACCGAATTGATCCGTCTGTATTGGCATATGAACTCCTACGCGGATCCCTATTTATTGGCTATGTTTGAACTATATATTAATAATGGATAGGGGCTAGCATGGTGTAGGAGGGCACAGTCCTTCACGGAAGCGGTGATAAACTTGTGTTTTCAGGAGAAATATTTTGCAAACCTATTTATACTACTTGTAAGTAGATGAATTGTTTTCAGTAAATTCAAATAGAACTATATGCAAGCCCTCAGCAAAAACTGTGGCGACGTATCCACCATTAAGAATGTGAAATAAACATTCTAAAAAATCAAAACATGGCAAGATAATTAATATCTGTTCATTACTAAGGTAATTTTGTCTACAGTTGCTTCTGTCATAATTACAGTATCCAAGGAAGAGAGAAAAGTGGTTAAACAACCTGAATATTTCCAGGAGTCGATTATTTTCTTGTCTTAGACATGTGAATACATTTGATAAATAGACAGTCATCTACATTTGACATTTATGATATCTAGATGTAAGTTTGTCACGAGTTGATTTATTTCAAGTTACTCATCACGGAGTGGAAGTATATGATAATACGGAAATCTGGGCAGTTTTTTCCCCTTGTTTAGGACTCTTAAACAATATACACTCACATCCAAGTGAGTGATAGATTTACGACAGATATTGTGAAACAATAAAGATTTTCCAATTATCATATCTTAAGAAGCAAAACTTGAGTAGATTCTAGTGTTTCTAAATAAATAAATGGTTAATATGTATGTAAGTTGGTAATTGTACAATACCTTGACTATCTCAGCTGAAAGTAAACTAGAGTCAGGTCAAGATTCATACCTAAAGTTTTCAAGTTTAATGGCTGACATAACCATAGTTTTTATTCAATTTCATTCAAGACTGTGTTACAAATGAAGACTAATCTAGTAGAAGAAGGCTATATCAGATAGCCAGGTTAGGAATCATAAGAAAAGTAATTTTTGATTAACTAATGTACTCACATTCATGCAAGATATCTCTTGACAAGTTTCTATCATGAATAGCTGAGATAAAGTGGATTTCAGCAACTTTACAATGATGCCTAATAGTGCCAGGGTGTTAAAGCAAGTAACTGATGCAGAGAAATTCGAAGCGCCTAGGCGCCTGTAATTCCCCTTTGCTAGTGGCTATCATTTGAATCCAGCAAGCTCATTTCATTCTATTTGGGACTCATCAGCCCCATATATGTGCCTCCGTGGCTCAGTGACCTAGTGGATAATGCTCTGATATTTGAGGCTATCATTCTAAGGTCCGAGTCCGGCTGGAAACAGTACCACTCACTGGCAAGGAGGTATATCCAGCTGATGAGTCCAATGGTTCCACTTCTGGTCACTGTTTATCATTACCATGAAACTAAAGTTTATCTAAACCAATGATATATTTACGCTAACATGATTGAACATTTTATTAGTGAGTGAGAATAGGTCAACAGTCCTCTACAGATTCTTGGATGAAGTAATAGGCGACGTGACTTCTTAAACTTGGTTAAACGATAGTTTTCTTCAGCTTTCTGAACGGTATGTAAGGTAGGCTGGATTGAAATATTAATAGCCTGCTTCAACTTTGCGCTACCAAAAATTTTTCACAGAATTTATTTCATCAAATTCCTCCCTTTTCATTTGTTCTAATCTTTTAAATGTGTCAAGTAGTCTTGTACACTTGTAGGAGATGGACTTGTAAATGCACAGAAATACAGTATATTACTATTCCTTGAATAAATTTGCTGAACTATTACCAGTAAAATTATGTTCGATATTCTATTCATTCACTAGTCTAAACCAGACACTAATGTAATATCAGGTGCCTGTTTCACATTGTGACTTCTTGGTTGTATTGTGTTCTCTTAGATGGGTTGTTTAGTCATGAAGCTTTCATCTTCCTTCTAGACGACATCATCAGCAGTAACTTCAGTATGAAGTGAGATGTCAATATCTCTCTGTCAGTGATTTAGTAGCTTACCCTGACCAACTGGTCTGTGATTGGTTGTTTCCTTTGATTATTGTGTCATTGACTGACTGCATAGATTTTCTTGTTGGCTGCTCCTCTGCTTCACCTCACCGCTAACCTTTTCGTCGTTTATCATTTTTATCATTGGTTAACAGATTGTGTCTTTGTCTATACATCTTTTGACTGCTGGTTGACTGACCTGAATGCCAAGCTTCTAGGAATTCTCTGATGATGTTCTTTGTGTTTCCTCTCTCCGTCCAAAATTTCTACATTGTCAAAATTCAATTCATATCCATAGTTGTTATCCACATGCATTGAAACGAGTGATGAAATATAGTGAAGTTTGATAGCCAACTGGTGTTCATGTAGACAAAGGTGAAGAGGGCGATCACTTTGTCCAATGTAGTGTTGACTACAGTTATTGCAGTTGAATTTGTAAATGATATTCAGGATGTCTTCTTTGACTGTTTGCATCCTTCGGTCTGTAATAATAGTGTTTGGAGGGAATTTGTTGGTTTATGAGCTACTTCAATTCCAAGTGGTTTCAGTAATCTTGTCATCGTCTCTGATATATTTTTTATGTACGGTAGGGTGATGCGTTAATTGATTTCTGTCGATGACTTTGTAGTTGATGATGAACGAGATAGGCATCTTCTGATAAAGTTTCGTGGGTAGCCGTTCTTCTGGAGGATGGACATCAAGTAATTTCTTCAT